AAGGACTATTTTGATGCTTTTCTTGCCCTGGCTGTGATAGCTCGTCAACTTACACAGACTTTGTGCAGCCCTTTTTCAAAACGAGAAGGTGTCGTCTTCAATGACATCCACAATTTGTACGAGCAACTGGATTATTGGAGGGACAGCTGCTGTCCGCGACATCTACGGAGGTACACAGACAGTACAGGTAGACCCAATCCCATTGAAATTAGAGAGCCAAACTCCAGTCGAACGGGGAAATATACCCACCTTTATCGAGGGGTTTTATGGGCTCTGGAGCTACACTGTCGACTGATGATTGAAGACTGTGTATCGGAATTCGGTATACAGGACAAAACTAGCTTGGAGGCCGAAGTACTCACAAGACGAGTGGAATATGAAAGTCTGCGCGCATTAAATGAGATGGTCAACATATGCCAGTGGATGAAGCAGCACGAGACTCATCATGAAGACCCCGAGAGACATTCTTTGATCGATCTCGCGCCAAATATTTTGCGCAACATCTGCGCGGGCATGTGCTATTGGTCCTGCCAACGAGGGATTGACCTTTGCGACAGCGGTCCCCCAAGGCTGCTTCAGTGCAGGCATGCAAATGATAGAGAAGAGATCCTGAAGCGAAAAGTCCGAAACTATGTCGAAATCGCACAGTTACTGCGAGATGCTGCAGCGACCGCAACATCACATCGAGATACGGCGCACGTCCTTGAGCGAATCGACAAACAGCGGGAGTTGCTTGATTCCAGGTTGAATCTGCTCTAGCTTTTCTACATGGCAAATGTGCTCGAATATAAATCATAGCATAGCGATCGAGGTCTTCTTATGAAGGTACATTCAACCCGTCGGGATGGCTCATGCGTCTTCAAACTCCCTGTCGGCTATCTCGGCAAATCCGTCCATCCAGAGCACTGGCGTAATTCCCTTTCTACAAAGGACGAGAACATTCCTTTGAAGAACGATTTTCTTTCTTCGTCATCATGAGTTAGAAAGAATGGTCGCCAGCGGATGGAATTAGGTGTCATGGCAGACTATGCATAATTGAGACACTTCCAGACTGATGGTTTGCTTGTCTACGAGAGGGGCAATCAAGCTGGTTCCCGTAGCATGTGAAGGGGATTGATTCAGCCCCCAAATTTCAGGCGGAACTGTTTCGAATTCCAATTTCTCCACTAGCTGCATAGCTTGCTCTTTTGGTTTCCATTGAAGGTCCAGAGACAACACTTTTCGGCATACCGCTTAGCAGCGCGAAAAATAGATGGCTAGGGTCGGCTCGAGCCACTAGTGACTCGACTGACAATCCCTCTTGGCCCAGTTGCGAACGAGCTATAGGTGATGGTCTAGGATACTAACTCGTACCATTCTGTCAATGAAAACCCCTCAAGAGTATCATATCGAGCGATATTGTAATTGGGCTGTACACCGTGGGGAGTCTCCATATTCAATGTGTTGCACTCATGACTGCTAAGGAGCTGTCAAGGGTGCAAATACTTGAAAGTCTATTGGCCAATGCAATTGCCGTTTATGACCCGAGGTATACCTACCTAGTCCACTTGGCTCTACTATGCATAATTTTTGGAAGAGATGTATGTCGTAGCTTGGCCACAAGAATGTGGTTATGGAGATTTTCAGAATCAAAAGGGGGGAGCGGCCTGTCGATCAAAACATCAGGTGTAATTTTGGCCCCATGGTTACATTCGTGGGATATAGATTCGCAGAAATCTTCAGACCGCAATTCAGGGTCTTTAGATGAAACATGCATAGTCCTTGCAGCATCAGCGGGTGCATCCGGGTGGGGAGATCAAAATTCCTCCTATGGCTTGGTCCTATAATTTCCACACTTGGCTGGACCCTGATGGCTAGATCCAAATGCCTCGTGTCAACATCCCCGGATTTTCCGGGTTCACCGGCGTGTGTAACGAGGTTTGAGAATCTTTACCATCTAAGGGAGAATTACTTGGTCATGCGACATCGACCAAACAGGGGCCCGAGATACACACCGAACTATCAGGTTGCCCTAGCGCTTCATTTTGAGTATATAAAGAGTATGATGTCTGTCTACAATGTAGTCGAACCGACAAGACCAGGCCCTCTTGAATATCAAGGCAATTGCTTTTCTTGACAATCGCAATCAATCCAGCACAATGCGTCTCTCCGAAATCCTTACTGTTGCTTTGGTCACTGGCGCCACTGCTTATGATCTGCCCAACAACCTGAAACAGATCTATGACAAGCACAAGGTATACCCACGCATCTCAAGGTTTTCAGGTCAGCCTGCTAATATCTCTTTCTTTATACCTCCAGGGAAAATGTTCCAAGGTACTGGCAAAAGGGTTCACCAATGGTGACTCCAGCCAAGGCAAGTCTTTCCAGTACTGCGGCGACATCCCGGGCGCCATTTTCATCTCCTCCACCAAGGGTTACACCAATATGGACATCGACTGCGACGGGGCCAACAACTCCGCCGGCAAGTGCGCCAATGACCCGTCCGGCCAGGGCCAGACCGCCTTTAAGTCCGACGTGAAGAAGTTTGGCATCTCCGACCTTAACGCCAATGTCCACCCCTATGTGGTGTTTGGAAATGAGGAGCATTCTCCCAAGTTCTCGCCCCAGTCACAGGGAATGCAGCCATTGAGCGTCATGGCTGTTGTGTGCAATGGCCAACTGGTATGTCTCTCATCTACTGCACGTGGGGTGTCCGTGTCCGTCTCCGTAGCTAATATCGAACGCATTACACAGCATTACGGAATCTGGGGTGACACGAACGGCGGCGTTTCTACCGGCGAAGCCTCCATTTCTTTGGCTGACCTTTGCTTCCCCAACGAGCATCTCGATGGCGACCATGGTCACGATGCCAATGATGTCCTCTTTATTGGCTTTACTAGCAAGGATGCCGTGCCCGGAGCGTCTGCCAAGTGGAAAGCAAAGAATGCGAAAGAATTCGAGGACAGTATCAAGTCGATTGGCGACAAGCTGGTTGCTGGTCTGAAAGCGTAAAGACAAAACAGACCGAAGACAGCTGGAGCTCGGGGTTCGGCCGTTGGCAATATATTTTCGGACGGGCGATCAGAGACACAGTGCCTAGGAGTAGTTAGTATAGAAGAATCTTAGTAACCTATACGTTTCTATCAGCAGTGCTAGGTTTGAGGATGCTCCATTATTGCATGACATGTGTATTATCTCTGGAGACCATCGACCTCATAAGGTTATTGTTACATCCGCCGTCTGTAAACTGAAAGAGTGTAACAACAGGTTTATGCTCCCAAGAGCATTTCAGTGATAGTGGCCATTAAAGTAGGCGTCTGCAAACCATGTTACTAGTTGACAGCAACCCTCTGGCCTATAGCTACAACATTCGATTAATGTCTGAAGAGGTGCTTAATGTCCAGAAGTGAGAGGACACTGCTGTCTCTGCGCTCAGTCTCTACTGGAATAACGAGCAGCACAGTTAGGGTAGAGCCTTTGAATTGTGTGAGGGTGGAGGATAAGCTGGCGGCAACCCCGTATCGAAATACCTATGTAACGATGACAATTCGTAGATGCCGCGTACAGTCCCGTACGGCCCTGGGGTCATATACCGTCATCAGCCGTCCTACAATGTGTTCAGCATAGTTGGTTCTCATGTTTGAGACACATATAGCATATCATCTCTCTAAGCTCCAAAGAATGATTGTCTACTTTCCAGTGCCGTATAGCATTCTACGATGTAAGCAACGCTTTCTCTTTCTTATAATCCATCAAGAATTGAACTAACCTCGTTTCTTAGATATAGGCTCAGATGATATATAGCCAGATCCCTTGTCGTTTGTGACCGATCCAACCAGTCTTTTGGTAAAATCTTCCACCGTCTACTAAAATGAACAGCATCGAATTACCTTAGCTTGCGTGTGTGTGTGTTCTTCACCTAACTAGCAAAACCAATTTCGACTTTCCCCAAAGTTGAGTCTCATCTGAAGCCCAGTGTCAGCATAATGGACGAGATGTCGCAGCCAAGCTTTGCATACAGACTATTTGATGATACCAGTCGCGAGAGAGCCAAGGAAGAGCCCGAGGCTGGACTACGGAGGGCAAATAAGCCGACCTTGCAGCCACTTCATGGCTTGAGATTATAACCTCGTTCATAGGGCTCTGCTTGACATTGTGAAGGTCTCCTCACAGGTGTCCCCAGAGCCCAAACCAGAGCGAGCCTCATTGACGCCTTGAATGGCAATCATGAATCGCAACTATGGTTTCATAGTGTACATAGGATCAACAGTAAACCTACCATAATTGGAGGCTAAAGAGGGTCTTCTCTGTTAGGTACTTTTGCACCAAGGAAAAAACGACTCTTCCCTTATCCAATGATAGGTCGTTTCCAGCACGCGCGGCTGAGATGTGGCGTCAATTTGATAACTCTGAAGTTGATACATGCTTGAACGGAGCGGGGTGAGGCTAGGAATATTTAAGCCGCTATAGTGCAGCAGAAATCATCCTATAGATGCTAACAGCAACGCAGGCAATATAACATCATAGGCACCCACCCTCCTTAGGATGCAGGCATTATTATTTCCTAGGTAGGTAGGTAAGCTAGAGTGCGAATGCCTCCTATCTAGCATGGCCTCTTAGTGGCTGCTACCCATGCCACTATATACCTATTAGTTTGGCTTAAGGGAGTTGGCAGTGACCCTTTGTATCTCCACAATGCGTAACTCATATGGCCCCCAACTTTGGGTATGATGGATATATGCGAATGTTGGAAGCCTACGGGGCGTCGATGCCCAGGCTGAGCAGATGGAGGTTACCTTTTAAGTGTATGTGAGCCTCGCACCTTGATGGAACGCAGCCTTCGCGGATTTTGACCATATGTAGTTTAGCGCATCCCTTAAGCCCAGCCAGCAACGCCCACGTGGTAGTCTACAGAGTAGTAAGTATATAATGGATGGACTGCAAAGGCTCTCTAGCTTCATTCTCCCCCTGCGTTCTATCAACCTGAATTACTCTCCTAATTAAACTCCTCTTTCATAATAATGTCAACAACTACGTCGCCGAGAGACTCTGACACCCTCGCGCCGGATGTTACGGCGGCCACGAATCTTGGCCAAGGGCTTTCCTACGAGCTTGTGTCAAAACCAAAGTTTCAGGCGTACCGCATTGTAAGGCCCGGTTCTCAGGCCGACTCTGTATACTACATTGAGACCCACGAGACTCTCTCGAAAAACAAATTTGACCTCCTACTTCACAAAGGAGACTCTAAGGACGGAGAAGTCCTTGGGGTTGTGAAAATGCACCGTCGCGGCTTCACTATTGGGCTTGGCGACCCAGCCAGAGAGATAGAGGGCAAGCCAATGGTGTGGGAGAAATTGGAACGGCCGGAGAAGCATGGTCACAAAGTGTACCATTTTGATTTCGGAACTGGCGCACAGAGGATGACATACACATACCGAAAATCATATGGTGTACTAGGGAGGCTGAAGAGCATGGAACTCCGCGCTGGAGGCGTTGATAAAGAGGATGGACTGCTCCTGGCAAAGTGGGTAGGAAGCAGCTCTTGGATGATGAAGGCCGGCAGCTTGTTCATTGCAAACACGGCAAAGAGCAGACAAGATCGCAATGCACATCTTGACGAAGATACTAATAAATGGGAGATAATGGTTTGTTTGACCGCGTTTGCAATTATTGAGAGTCGGTACAGAGGGAGTAACGCGTAAAGGTATATATGAGCGTGGCGATGTGATGTCTTCTTCCATGTGTTTAAGAAGAGTCAAAGAGGTCTCTCACTCCCATTCTAGTAAACTTGTGGCATCATTATTCTTAGATCGTAATCTCTTCTCTGTGTAATAATAATAAATTCTTCCGCAAACAGCTTAAGGATTTGAGGGGACTATGCGCTCGTCAAATGGCGCGAGTATCTCGCGTTGATCGTCGGGAAAGCAGTGGAAATTGTGGATTGGTACACGCACCTCTGTCTATAGATGAATTTGGAATGGACCGGAGAAGTATCAGATAGGCGTACTATAAGGAGTATTGACATGACATTGAAGCTGGATGGAACGCAGAGAAGACATTGCTTGGAAGAGGCTCCACAGCCTCCCTTCCTTGACCAAGATATATCAGCTATTTGGAATATAGATCGGGAAGAGCATAAATGTGTCCCATCAGTACACAAGTTTATAAGCCTAAGAAGGGAAATCGAAACACGAATCGAAAGCCATCATTCACAAAACCTAAACGGGCTTCGTCGAGTAAATCTGGCTAACGTGGTCGATAACAGCACACTTCCAGTCGTCACTGCCGTAGTAGATCGTGTAGTGATCGTTGGGCGAGGCACCGGTGGACAGCTGCTGGCCATACTGCCAGAAGAGATCCGCAGAGTTGCCGGTGGTGGCCAGGGAGGTCTTCTGCCACTGGAGCGAGTCACCGCAGTGGTTGTCCTTGATACCGTACTCCTCAAACAAACAGGGCTTTCCAGCAGCCTCGCAGACTTTGGCGTGGGATTTAATCCAGGTGTTTCCCCAGGAGTTGTCAGAAATTCCCCCTACTATCAGTTAGCCTGAGAGATCAATCAAAAGAGCATGAAGTTTACTTACAGTCAGCAACATAGAGGTGGTAGACTCCAAAGTCAATGTCGGGGATTGCAAGGTTCTTGGCGAAGTCATTACCCTCATAACTGGAGTAGGGATAGGAGCCATCAGAATCGACGGTCAAACCCATGCCCTCTGTTATGATGGGTTAGAAATCACAAAGTCGGAATCGTGCTATGCGGAGAACGTACCTTCACCAGTGGTGACCATGTGGTTGGGATCCAGAGACTTGATGTAAGCGCTGGTCTTAGCAGCCCAGTTGTAGATGACATCGGTGTTGCAGTTCTGGCAGCGGGGCTCATTACCTAACTCCCATGCGAAGATGGCAGGAGAATCCCTGTAGCGAGAAACAACGGCCTTGATGTAGGTCCGGTACACGCTCTGGATCTTCTCGTTGGTGTACCAGCCCTCCTTGGTGCCACCATAGGCATTGACGTAGGCGTTCATGCCACCATAGTCATTCCAGTTGTTGACGAAAGGAATGATCAGCTTGATGCCGTACTTCTCAGCAGCGGAGACAACATAGTCCAGGCGCTGGAGGCCATCAGCTCCAGTGTTAATGGTGCTGGTGCCAGTTGCCTTGTCGTGCAGCTGGAAGTATACAGTTCCAGAATTGGGGACCGAGTTAACGTCGTTGAAACCCCAGATACGGAGGATCTTCAGGCCGGACTGCCGCAGATGGTCAAAAACAGAGTCGACATCGTCATTTTTGGTCAGGAACGGCAGCCAATATGAGTTCGTGCCGGCAAAGTACTTGGTCTCGCCGTCGATGTTGAATTTCAGTCCGTCCGTCTTAGCGAAAGAGCTGCTGCCTGTGGGATTGGTAGGAGGAGTAGAGGTCGAAGAGGTGGGAGTAACTGTCGACGAATGATCCTTAGTTGGGACAGCAGTCAAGGTTGTTGAGGCCGCCCTGGAAGTAGCTCCTACATACCCGTTAGTTTCCATGTCGATGGGTATGGGACATAGGGTTTGATTTTACCAGGCTGGCACTGGCTGTACCAGTCATTGAGATAAACACAGCCCCAGCCAGATTCACAAGTAGTAGGGCCGGAATAAGAGAGGCCTCCGCATTGTCCCCAGGGACCGGCCTGAGCGGAGGCAGCTCCTATCGCGGACAGGATGGCGACAGACGACAAGGAACGCATGCTGTGCTATAATAAATGCAGAGTGACGATTGAAATTGGTTCTGATGATGAGAATGCTACTGGAAGTGATGCCATTTAGAGCTGTTATATATCTCTGCTAGACGGATAAAATTATCTTATAGTTCCAATTTGGACTGCCCAGTGCCCAGAGCTCACGAGCCCCTTGAAACTGAGCAAGATTATGGAAGCGACTCCCGCGTGGGGATTTACACCTACCGACGGACATATGTGGGGAGGATTCAACTAGCGCCAAATCGGGTGACGCCGTTCAGCACGACTGTGAATCACTGCAGATAGTCTGCTTCTCTGATTCTGCCAGTGCACGTCGTAAATCATGTCAGGGACGGAGCTCAGCCAAGGCGGACTCTCTTCCACTTCCCCGTGACGGTTTGGGCAAAGCTCATTTTACTTCAACTCTGGTACAGCCTAGTAGAGCAAGGACAGAGTCCGCATCGCATGGAATCAGGGAAATACAGGAGAAACTCCCGCATCTCATGCTACAAAGCAGTCAATCGCTACCCAGCCATCCAGAATTCAGAGGCGTATTGGCAGAATTCACAAACTGTGGATGCGCCCGACTCCATGCATTGCGCGAGAATAATGCAAAACTGGAAATTCTGCACGACAGAGACCTCGGATTTCCTATGGAGAATCTAAAGAATCCGGGGTACATGGCTTCTAGGCATCAGCCTTCTTCTGGGGGCCATCGTCCAGTGCGCATAGTTGTCGACGGCAAAAAGATGATTTCTAATCAACATTTCGAAGATCATACAGACAGGCAGTTTCCGACGAACTATCCCAATTCTAGTGCGCAACAGAACGTTTCAAACACCTTCGCGAACCGGTCTGAGGCTTTTTTGACCTGAAATACTGCCATGCCGGGTCGTTGTCTGTCAAGTTCCAGTATTTCGACATCGCGCCATTTGCAGGTCGTCATGGTTGGAAATCCATGGATTTGGAATTTACAGGGTAGTGTCTCATGCAGAGCCATCCTATGGTTTGGATTACGAGGACCCAGAAGTTCTCTGAATCCACAACCCATCGGTTTCTCGTCCCCCACCCATTCTCCTTGAGAGCACACTCAGCTCAAAATCAAGATCACTAATTAAAACCGGAATCAACGTTGACATCTCCAGCAGAGATATTCCTGCCAATACTCGTGCGCGACCCCAGTTCGAACGGCGTGTAGTTCCGCTCCATGAGTTTCAGCTGCTCTGGGCTCGACTCCATCCACCGCTCAGGCTGGGACTTGGGGGCAGTCTCCTTCATATGACCCTACGCCCGGTGACTTCGTCCATGAACATACCCCAGCTGAGTATAGCCTGTTGCCTAACCATAAGTTTGGTGAATGCTCAAAGCCATGGCATCAATCCTAATCTGGTAGACCACACTTTATTAATAAATTCGAATCGGATAATGGAGCAACAGATGATGAGCACCAATCTTACGTACCATATGTGATTGAATGGAGGGTGGCTCTTGATGACCGCATTCTGGCAAAGGATACAGGACAAACCTTGTTTCAGAGTGGGGTCTATAGGTTGAGAAGCGCCTCTGGTGAGTGATCTGCATAAATTTGTTAAGGCTGCTCCATACTGGCAAGCACGGAGTACCCCTCAGTGTATTAATAACCTGCTGGAAGCGTTCAGCACCATCGGTGAAGTGAGCCTGACTCCAAAGGTTTCATGGTCTTAGGGTCTTTTTTAGGATCTATCTGCTTATTTGAGTGGCAATATTCTGACTGCTTCGTAGCCTCTAGTGTTGTGTTACTGTGAAGCCTACTGTAGTGCTTGAGTTGTCCTGGAATAAGTTCGCTAGATCTATCTATCTCAGGCTAAGATCCGAACTGAGTATACTTGCCAAGAACATGACATTTTACCCTATTCAAAAAGGAATAGTTGAGCAGTTTGCCGATGAGTTCCATTTTCAGGTGGTCCGACAACCCACCTGTTGATCGTTGACCTGTTCTGGCATACCGTGAGGTGGATAATATCATGTTTATAAAAAGCCGCTATGTAAGTACTAAGTTGTACATCGAGTATGAACAGCTACGGTGCGATCCGGACAGTTCGGGCCAGAGCTAGCCGAACCTGTAGAAATAATCGAGTTGTTCAAAGAACCATCCTTTGTGAGGTGGAGGAACTTACCAGGTGCCCACCGGACAGCTCTGCGACGGGGACGTCAGAAGCAATCCGCCCTGTTAGGCCCATGGATGAAAGCAGTGCTCGAACAGAACCTTCTTTGAGTGACCCATCCGACTCAGCCATCAATAATCCCAGAGCAGTTAGAGCGGGTTCGCCCTTGCCACGCTCCTGCAACTCTTCGACCGAGTGTTGGCCATAGTAGCCCACTTTCGGTCGCGGGTGGGTGGTGACTTTGCCCTTAGATGGGAGATTATTTCCCGCCAAGACACGGATCAGAGTAGTCTTTCCAGACCCATTGAGACCCATGATGCCATCACGGTCACCGAGGTGGACGACCAGAGTAATGTCATCCAGAACAACCCGATCATTTTTCCTATACTGAAAGGTGATCCCTTCCAGTGACACCAGCGGGCCAGGGAACCGAAGGCCAGTCGCCTGGGGCGGACTAATTGTCGCGCCCTTCTCATCCTGCGGCACCTCGATTTCGGCTCGACTGGGCAGGTGAAATCCAGCCAGATCTTGAATCGACCACTGGTGGCATTCACTTGAGTACCTATCCGATCCTCGGCCTTCTTTTGTTGAGATTGGGCCCGGCGAAGCTTATTATCGTCATTGGTCTTCTCGCCGATCTTCATGATCTCGCGAATACTCGCTTCCATGTGGGCTATTTGACGCTGCTCGGCTTCCTTCATGCGTCCCCAGTACAATTTTTGACTTTCAAAATCTTGTTCGTAGGCTGCAAGATTCCCTTTGAAGTAGTTGGGTTTTTGATCACGTAAGATGATGATCTCTTTGCAAACGGAATTGATGAAGTCTCGGTGGTGCGATACAAGAATAATTGTCGTTTGGGACGATTCGCAGTTGTTGGAGGTAGTTCTCCAGCCATACCACACCCAGGAGATCCAGGAAGTTGGTCGGCTCTTCGAGGGTCATACTATTGAACTTCTGAATAAGAACGCACGCGAGCATACAGCGCATTCGCCAGCCACCGGACAATGTTGACACCTTTTTCTAACCGTGGTATGGAGTAGGGTTGCATTCAGTCTGAGTACAGGCTAGAGTAGCATATCGACCTGCTAAACTCAGAACCAACCCTCACTGAACTTGCAGTGGCTTGGGTTTGATCCCTAGCCTAGGGAACCATAGCAGTTACGATTCCCTCCGCCCCCTAAACCTCTTTGAGTTTGGTTAAAACCGTTGGTATCGTTTTAGTGGCTTTATTGGATTAGAGTTGCATAAACTGCTAAACTCGGAACCAACAAGGGCTTACTGAATTTGTAGTGGTTCAGGCTCAGTCCCTTGCCTAGAATACCTGTCACATGGAGAGCCGCCAGCGAGCCTCCATCATGGGCCACCACCTTACATGATGAATTTCTCCAAACTCTGTGTACATAAATAGCTTAGTAAGAACTAAGTAGTTTATTCTAATTACTAAATAGTCTGGATGACACTGGGGAGAATGATGAAGAAAGCTCGCAGAGAACAGCGAGGTGTGATGTGTGGGCTTAAGTACGGGACGACGGCCTGCAGCAGTCCACCTAACCCAATTTGGGAATTCCCGAGTTATCGCTTATGAAGCTTAGCTAATTACTCAATTGCTTTTTGAGGACCAAAGAGTGCGAACAGTCGCCTGCCTCTGGGCTCTGACATCAGCATAGCCAGCAGTACCCGCTCATATTTAAAATGATATGTGGACGTAAACCAAGCGAGGAACGGTTGGGTCCCTCCGAGAGTCCCTCTGCGATGCAGATGCCTTCCTATTGGCTTAGCAAATGATGTTTCTGGTCGCTGTAGCGCGCCGTAGCCATACTCAGCCGTCTCGTATTAACCACATAGGCTTGTCCTCTCCAGAGTTTATCAGTTAACACCTAGTCAGAAGGGTCTAAACGCTCTGTCCATCCCAAAATGGCAGGTATGCGGAGTTCTGGGTGTCTACTCTGTGTCCAGCGTCGCGTGAAGGTTGGTCTTACAAAAATGGGAGGCCAGAGCACCGCTGACATATATATAGTGTGATGAGCGACTTCCAGGCTGTGCGCGGTGTGAGAAATATGGAAAGCAATGCCCCGGCTATGTCAGGAACTTCAAGTTCAAAACTGGAAAGCCTTATCGTTCTCGACGCGTACCTCCAACAAATGTCTCTGGTTCTGTACTGAGCGCGTCTAACAGAAAAACCTATGAGGCAGACAGGGGATCAGTGACAGAGAGTACGCCGGTGTCCACGCTGTCTTCTCCAACGATTAATGTCCTCCAAGGGCTTTCATCGGTAGTCGATGACCTCTCTCAGGGCTACTCATCGACTTCAATCCATATTGTTTCCAGATGGTTCAGCAGTCTCCCATTTATCTATGGACGGAACAAAACCCTGGATGCAACTGTTCGATGCTTTACAGCACACCATATTTCGAAGGTGTTGCAGAATGCGCAGATCGCGCGGTATTCTAGGTTTGCGTACATTGAGGCTCTGAGCAGACTTCGAAAGTCTCTAAACGCCCCTTCTGAGCGTCTGTCTTCTGATATCTTCTGCGCGGTGCTACTTCTGTGCTTGTACGAGGTAGGCACCTGATTCCCCGTCACAGGAAGAAGCAATGTCGTCTGATTAAGTTAGCTGTTTGCAAATACTCAAGATCCAGTTACATGGATGAAACATGCAAAGGCAGTGAGCCAGCTGGCGGAGATTCGTGGGCCGAACTCTTACAAGGACCCATTCAATAATACATTACTCAAAGCTGCACGAGGATTGATTGTGGGTGTCTTCATGGTCTGAATATGATATGAGACTGACATGAGCGCAGGTAATGCACTCTCTCTTCTCCGGGGAAAGATGCTTCCTAGCCTCAGAAAGCTGGCATGCCATAATGCGGCAGCGCATCAACTCATTCTACTCCGAAGAGCTGGAAGATTCGCTAGAGGAATTCGTGGCTCTATTCACACTGGCGCCAAGCCTTGTTCACGCGCTCTATGATATCAAAGCATCAGATATGACGAGTCCTGCAACCTGGAAGAAGCTGTCCGAAACCCTAACCCGAATTCTTGAGATGCAGACCAGACTGTCAAAATGGTATAGTCGCTTTTCCCGAATGGCACCACCCCCATACGAAAGGCTATCATCGACCGAAGACGCTGTATATCCTATCGTTGTGCACTACTCTGATCTGAATATCGCCTCAATATTCATTTCCTATTACGCATACATGGCTATCATGCACGAGGCCTTACGGACCCTTGGTTATCCTGGTACACATGAAGCTATGGTCGCCTTTTTTCGAGATCAGATTTGCAAGTCAGTGGAATACAACGGTACCGGTCCACTAGGGCCGTACAGAATGGGATTTCCGCTGCGTGTGGCATACGAGGTGGCAGACCCCAAAACCAAATCATGGATAGAGAACCATTTGGTGCAAATGTCGCAGCATTATGCAGCTGTACAACCTAAGAATTTTGCGGCGGCTCTTGATTGAACCGTCTTTCACCCTTCTCCGTCGTCATTATGTCCAAGTTTGTTGAGAAGAAATCCACTGTGCTCAAGGCCTGTCGTCCCTCTCAAGTTCCTCGGCATGGAGATCCTTGGATGGAAATGGCTCCATTGTGCCTCGTGATAACAACAGGAGCACTGTGGCGATTATCTCCATTAACAGACCCATACCAACTTTGATCCCCTCCTTGCCAGTGAGAGCATTGAATTCCTCCGACCCAAACTCACCCAGCAGAAAGTAGGCGATTCTAACGGCCAAGAACGGCATAGTGGCAAGGACCAGCATCACGACGCGGCGGCCGTTTCTGGGCAGAACCGTGCGGTAGGCGACTGCAATCCAAAGTACGAGACCAATGATAAATGCAAAGGTAATGACGAAGACGCCCGAGCCGATATCCCTACAGGCAGAAATATCCATTGTCTCACCAACCACGGCACAGACCAGAGAAATGATGACTGGGAAGCGAAAGGCGTGAAGCAGGAAACGCAAATGTTTTGGGTACCTTGTGTTTCCGGGACCGCGTCCTCCAGCTTGTCCACTTTCTAGACGTTAGTGCTTGCAACATCTTGAGCCGACTCGTGACATACCTTCGCAGTAGGACAAGGCTCACCTCAAACAAAAGAGGTGATAGTCCGATACTTTGCAGAATGATCTCTGCCGTCCAGACCGACTTGCTCGGATTGGAAACAGCAATCGCCATCGCGGAACCCGCAATTCGAACTAGTAGACAGTGTCAACCCTGTCCAAAAGCATAGCGGGCTGGTCAGCTATCACTTACGCTGCGCCAAAAACCCCAGCATGCCAAACCAGGAGTACAGCACGCATCTGCGGACACTTCTCTCCCTTCTGTGGTGCCAGTACTTCCATTCTTGCATGAACCTTGTGACAAATTGTACCAACTGAATGAGGGAGAAGATGGTCACTTCAGCTATCGCGATGCGAGTATGGTCCACCGAGGGAGACGGCATTGGGTTGGCCTTCATAGTAATTGGGATGGAGTTGAGAGGTTGCTTAATCAGTTGAGAGGCGAAAACGAGCATTTCATTTGGATCTAGCTGAGAAGTTGATTGCAGGAGATGGCGCTGAGACTGACAGGATATGATCGACCTGCTATATATACCTAGACTGTAAGACTCTAAGCCTTGCTACTCGTCTCTGAGTAACTGTGAAGTCATCAAACAATTGGCTGGCCGAGGATATCGCGATAATTGACCATTTTGGGCTTAGTGGCTTTCGTTTAAGCCTTTGTTGGCGCACAGAGACATAATGATTGGTTAAGAAATGCTGATCAATTCCATTAGTCTACTTGCATGCCTACGGCACCCAGGCGAAGCTATGATGAGCTGAAAAGAATGATGAGCAGGGTCATTTCTTTAGCTGCATTATGTTATCATAGAGGACCACAATTTCCCCTTCAATGGTAACATCCTCAGAAGGGGATGACTAGTCCTCTGATAGGTCAGGCCCTAATAGCTCATGGAGGAAGTAGTTAGCTGACATAGTACAGCAACACAACAGATCATAGTATAGGGAGACCTTGGAGAGAGTGGTTCTCTGAGATAGTACCCATGCTGATTTAGTTTTCCCGCGCAGTCAGTGGAATTTATCACATCGAAATAAAAGGTCCGCAATTTCTATCTTGTGATAATTTTAATTTTCAACTTGTTTGACACTAATGATAAATTGAGAGTGCCCTCCAATGGTCATTATGCAGCCGCGACAGCAGCAGCTTGCACAAAAGGTATACTGAAGATATGGAGACCAACAAAGAGACCAACTTCAGATGGGCATGATGGTGCACTCCTCCTGTGGTCAAGACATCAAGTCTTTACTGGCAACACATCGCTGGGAAGAGCATCCACAATGATAGAACTTATACAGCTAAATCCATGAATTTCTGACGTCATGACTGCATGGGCTAGCATACGCATAGACTTCGTTAACCATACGCAGGAAGGCCCGAAAGGTTTATGGCACGAACTTGCCTTCATCATAACAACTGCATATTTTCCGTTCAGTATTATAAAAGAAGTTAACCAATAAATGTTACAATCCTGGAATCTTCACGGTCTGCAACCCCTTCAACTGCCGTATCGCACATTCTGCATGCGTGTCATGTCCATGGCCCACCTAACATAACCAGGTTCCGGCTTCAATTGCAGCCTTCCAGCAATGGATGGAATACTATTAAGCTCTCAAATGAGCCTTATGATCCTTCGTCAGTCCTGGAATAGTACGCACGCAGTTTCTTTTTCAAAATCAGGCGTCAGATGGCTCTCATGGCCATCTAAAATATCTTCCAACTGTACGGCTAGTTGTTGCAGAGATAAAGACCTTTCTAAGCCACCGAAGGCCTATCTCATCCGTTGTCCGTCCATTTTGACCTATTTAAATTCACTGAAACATCTGCTTCTTAACATGGACGAGTCTCGCACCCGATCCAGAGCTCCTCCTCGAGTTTTTTCCTTCTAGCACCGATCACTACACCTGGCTGGCCATATCACTGTTGGGCTTCTCCGCTCGGGGAGAGCTCGCTTGGCGTGCTCGCAGGTATAGCAGCGGGGGAGGTACACGGTATCTTACTGCTACCATTCACCCGACTAACGCAATGCAAGATGATGCATCTCCTAGAGCCCAATGCTTTCCACCGATATCTGCCTCTTCTTTTGAGAGCTGTTTGCAACACGCAGGCGCAACACCTGCTGAACCAATGCAAATATCTGAACTAGGATGCCCTGACAAACCCCGTCGCCTTGAGGATCTTAATGACGGTAGCGATATTCCGCAACCAGCGCGCTCCATGCAAGGCCCAGCGACTGTACAAAGGGATCAATGCTGTAGTGGAGTTCAAGAGCTGCAGACCGTTTCATCAATAGCAGAGAGCCTACCCCCAGGCACTATTGACTGGGATCTCTCGTTTCCAGCCTCCCAGACCGAGGCTATCACTGGGCAAAAGGACTTCCAATCGGATGTTGTAGGTGGTGCTCGTACAATTTTTACTGCTGGTGACTTTCCCCTTCAACGTGCTTGCACTGGAAGATTCCGATAATGTGTGGAGCGCGTTTCGTCCAAACGTCTGAATTGTCTTTTTATTTTTTAATTTTCTTTAATTTTTAATTAATAAAAAAAAAAAAAAAAAAAAAAAAAAAAAAAAAGGCATGACGCATCCTCCTCTTATAACTAGATGTCTCTGCTTTAGAGGAGGCCTGTCTGTGCCTTCTTTGAAAGCAGGAGAATAGTTCTGATGAAACGGAACATGGGTTTGAAATCCAAATCGAAATTGATATCAGAATCCTTGCACTGTGTAGCAGCCCATGGCCTGAGTGGGAGGCTCAAGTGACTGATCCGATATACATCGAGTCTACAGCGCATTTCTCTAGCAATCTATGACAAGCGTACAGCTGTACGCCCCTCGAAATGCAGCTGATATGTTGCGTCATCCATTTCCGTCTGACACATCCAAGGCTTGGCACATTGGCCATTCTCACCCAATGATTCTTACGAATGCGTAGTCTATAATTGCAGAACTGTGGGATTATGTCCAAGCAACTCTCCGATCGGAGATTAAGGTCCTTATTTCCCCATTAGTAAGCCAGCCCATCCCGGTCTGGATCATCTGGAATGTAACCCCGTCATGAATCCAACCGGTGGATAGTACATTGACCACGGACTGCATTTAAGGTTAATTCTGTGTAGTTGTCCTTGTTATGACTTTTAATCATGACCCTATGGTGCAATCCTTCCCTACAAATGTTCGCCCATGTATCTTCCAGATGCGGCCGCCAGAGCTCAGGTTATTCAGTCCTACGAACTTTCTATGTGCAGTATCAGTAAGATAGCAATTCCACCGATCAGGATGATGCAGCTGCCCTTGGTTTCTATTTATCCACACCTATCCATCGCCCTGCTTCTCGGCGCTGTATCCCCCATTCTTATCGCTCTTATTTTTGGGCGATGGAAGATTCCCCCTTCATTCCCCAAAGGGGTTCCGCGCGCAGGGCAAAGAAAGAATATCTTTGGTGGGCTTAGGTTCTGGTTCCGAGGCTGGCTTTCAGGACGACTGAGCCTCTTAGAAGGATATGCCGAGGTAAACATACATTTATATATGCTTGCGATTCGATTGAATGGCGCCATTATCTAATAATGGCTATGAGAATAGTTTAATCGACATGATCAGCTCTTTGTTCATGCCATTGGCAATCTACGTCCTCAAGCCATCTTGCCAGTGAAAGACTTTGAATGGGCGATCCGGCAACCTGACAATATTCTATCTCCGCACGAAGTCATGAACCAGAATCTGAGCCTTGATCATCTCCTTCCCATTGCTCGTTCTGCAATGGATGTGAAGATTGTCGTTGTGCTGATCAACCAGTTTCTCACTCAGAATATAGACCGGATCCAGTCTGATCTCGCTGACGAGCTCCGTCGAAATATTGACCAGGAATTTGGGAAAGATTGCCACAACTGGCAGCCTGTCCGCCTCCTTGAAGTGATGCTACGAGTTGTACTCCGCACGAGTGCCCGGATCTCATGGGGCTTGCCGCTGTGCCGTGATGAATCCTACATACGTTCTCTCACCAGATTGATCAGTCTCCATACAGGTGCCATGATAATGTGTGGTCAATTGACCCCCTGGTTCTTGCAGCCCCTGCTTTCCATCTTTCTCAGAGTTCCCCTGTACTTTGTTCAAAAGAGAGGGTGGGCTGCCACCACATCACTCATCAAGGAGTGGCTGGCCCAGATCAAGCAGGAAGAAAAAGAGCAGATCTCTGAAAAGGATTCCAGGGTACCTTATAACCTAGTAACCTCGTTCATTCGAGTTTCTCACAGGTTGCGTGGGTCTGAAAAGCTCGATGAGGGACATCTCTCCGCGTTTATCAATTTCTTTGTAAGTCCCTTTTTTGGGTCGCTTTGAACCTTAACTGACATAAGAACGCAGGTCTTGCTACCATTTATGACCACCGTCCCTAGCGCTTGTGCTGCAATCTTAGATATTGCAAGCTCTCCGCCAGAAATGGGACTACATCAGCAGCTTCGGCAGGAAGCCGCAAACATCCTTAGTTCAGAGAAAGAATGGGCAGCCCCAACGTCTTTTAAGAAGCTCTGGTACACAGATAGTGCCATTCGGGAAACATTACGTCTAACTCCAGCGGTCTTACATGCATCAAACCGAGAAGTCATCCATCCATCCGGTATCACCTTGCCCACGGGCCAACATCTGCCACGGGGTATGTGGGTTGCCGCGTCCACCTTCGATATCCATACAGATGAGAAGTTCTATCCTGAGGGACAGTCATACAAGCCATACCGATTCGTCGAAGAGCAGACTAATGAAAATGGCAGTGGTCTAAGCGGGAGAGACAATACTCAAGACGCTAGTATGTCCAAGCAGAAAATGCATATGGTAGCAGCCACCTCGACATATCTACCCTTTGGCTCAGGACGTCATGCGTGGTGAGTTTCTCTCCTTCTGAGATGGTCGAATATTGCCCATTGACCTAACATGCTCCTCAGCCCGGCTCGGCATTTTGCTGTTCATTTTCTCAAGATGATCGTCGCATATATTGTTTTAAACTACGATATCGAGCATCTGGACAAAAGACCGGACAATATGATTTGGGGGGAGCATATGCTTGTACCACCAAGTGCTACTGTCCGAGTCCGTCGAAGGAAGGTTAATTAAACGCCAGCTACGTTGTTATTCAGCGCTCAAGTGTGGTTGGGTTTTCTGAAATTGCCACTGTGTCTCGCTTGACCCGAGTTAAGGACCACAGTACTTGTGAAGTTCATTGAGCTTGGAATGATATCGACACTACTCCATCCCATTTGGGATCTTGTGCAATCAATAGGGATGTAATGATCTTATTGCTTACACTCGTACCTACAGATAAAACGATACGACCTATCCAGATTTTTCTTGACACATACTGAATATCGGCCATCGGAGTCGCGCATAAGTCGTGACAATGACGTAGGTAGTTCTGGTCATCAAAATAGCGCAACGGAACAATTCGGTCGGTAGGGATTGTAGGGGGTCGTGTGCGCCGCTCGAATGGTGAGAAAAGGCCCATTCTTGTGTAAGTCTCTCTGAGGGAGGACGGAGACTTGAGATTTTCCCAAAGTCGATGTGCCAGTCAGTAATTATAGAATCAGGAGAAGTGATGAAGGTAGTACTTCTGAGTATCCCAACACGTTATCGGTAAGCGATCCGCTATTATATGCCAGCTGCCAACTGCTGTATTCCATATAAAATGGCACTTTTCAAAACTTCAATATCTCAACAAAAAGCATCTAGGATACCTAAAACTTAGTATACAAAATACTCTCATATTGAATATGTATATATTAAGTAGAGATCTTTGTGGGATTCATTTTCTTAAGGTAATATTCTTTACAGCCGTATTTTTTGTATTTAAGAATGATACTAGATTATCACTTCAGAAAAATCCTAAAAAAATTAGACAAAACTGAATTTCTATTCTATGTTATACATATATATAACTCTACTTATAGAAAAATTCCCCTAAAGCTGTTGTGATGGAAATCCTAATGTTTAAAAATGTGCCATTTTATATGGAATACAGCAGATGGCGGCCGCAATGGCGGATCGCTTACCGATTACGTTAATCCACCGCCGGCAAGGGATGACTAATCTGGATAGTCGAGTGGCTTCTATGTAGGTAGATTGGGAGAGTTCCTAATCGTGTCAATGTCACGGTAGTAAAAGTACATCCTATACAGACGACTATTCAAGGGTACTTGTCCTTGTACCTAACATCCATAGACTGCCGAGATCAAAAGCTTTATGTAACCCCATCAGTTGACGTGCCATATTTGTGTTGACACGGGCAGGAAGAGACATGGTTGAACTCGCCTTTCTCTCAATTCCTTTACCCGAACCATGGATTGCCTGCTCCGTTTTCGGCCTTCTTAGCGAACTGGACGTTACCAAAGAATAGCTAATTATTAGATCAGGTCGCCGGATATAGGATGATCGCGATCAACTGATGGATACTTGTCTTGAAACCAGATAGTCATGGATCTTATCCAAGAAAGTAAACCCAACTTGTGGTGATGTAACTCGGAAATGCAACTTCCTTTTCCCCCATGGCTGATATCCCTGAATGTAAGATTATATAAAATGTACTGTAGGGTAATCAAGTATTCAAGTTCCCGACGTGAAACATCCAAGCGATCATCGGTGTCACTCGGTCTTTCCTTCAATGTCTGGTCATCACGATGCCACTAATCGGTCCGGACAACATCGCAGTCAAACACACATCAACACAGAAGCCAGCCACAAAGAAAAAAACGCGTGAACATCATGCATCCAAAGCAGATGATCTTATTGCCCGGGTCGAGCATACACTGAAGCTCTCCACGGAGTATGCTCTAGGATCTGCGCACTCTGATGGCCACTGGTGCGGGGAACTCAAGTCCAATGTCACGATCACTGCCGAATATATATTCCTCCGACAGGCGCTAGGATTGGACTTGAACGCTGAGCGCGAGGCCTATTGTCGCTATATGCTCTCCGAACAAAACTCTGACGGTTCGTGGGGTCTGGCACCTGAGTACCCAGGCGATGTATCTAGCACGACCGAAGCATATCTTGCGTTGAAAATACTTGGGACTAAGACCGATTTACCAGCCATGGAAAACGCCCGAAAATTTATCATTAAGGCAGGCGGCATAGCTGAAGTTCGTGTGTTTACTCGCATTTTCCTAGCAACCTTTGGCTTGTTCCCATGGAGTGCAGTACCCCAGCTCCCCGTGGAGCTCATACTTCTACCTTCCATACTGCCGATCAGTATCTACAGGTTTGCGTCCTGGGCTCGCGGCACTATTGCCCCTTTATTGATCATTTGCCATCATCAGCCAGTGTACGCACTGCCGAACGGACGTTCAGCAGAAAATAACTATCTGGACGAATTATGGCAAGATCCGAGCAATAAAAGCGTGACTTACGGTCCATCTGTTTGGACACTACTAGGTGAAATGGACATTGTTGGGCTTGCATTCAGTGTTTTGGACAAGTTGCTATACCAATTCAATGGACTTCGGTCCATTCCTCTGGTACGTACTTATGCACGACGGCGCTGTATAGAATGGATCCTGGAACGTCAGGAAGTAACAGGAGACTGGGCCGGAATCTTCCCGCCAATGCATGGGAGTGTGTATGCGTTTGCCCTTGAGGGATACCAGACCGATGACCGACCAATTCGACTCGGAATACAGGCCTTGGAAAATTTCTCCTGGAAGGACTGCAATGGTAAGCGGATCCAAGCGTGTGTTTCCCCAGTGTGGGATACGGCGTTGATGTCTATCGGACTTTGTGACGCCATGTCAACTAGCCGGGAGAGAATCAGCAAGGCGATACACTGGATCCGGGATCACCAACTGCTAGAGTCTCGCGGGGATTGGTGTGTGTACCGTCCGCACCTAGCGCCTGGTGGCTTTAGCTTTGAGTACGAAAATACATGGTACCCCGATGTGGATGACACAGCTGCCGTTATTCTTGCTCAGGCCAAATATGACCCTCAAACGATCACATCACATTCTGTGAGGACAGCAGCTAAATGGATCCTTGGTATGCAAAATTCCGATGGAGGATGGGCTGCTTTTGATGTTGAAAACGACAAGTTGTTTCTCAATAAAATCCCTTTCAGTGACATGGACAGTCTGTGTGACACGTCGTGTCCCGACATCACCGGCCGCATCTTGGAAGCTTTTGGGCTGATGATCATTCTTGCCCGCGAGAGGAGCAATGATGCAGATGATCTTTATGCTGAGCTTCATATGGCATGCAATCGTGGCATTAGTTATCTAGTTCAGAATCAAGAACCATATGGTGCTTGGTTTGGGCGCTGGGGATCCAACTATATATATGGCACAGGTCATGCCCTATGTGGCTTATCTTACTTTGTTGAGGAGGACATTCGAGTTCGAGAACTGGTACAGCCCGCTCTGCAGTGGCTCAAATCAAAGCAGAATCCCGACGGTGGCTGGGGCGAGTCTTTACTCTCGTACCGCCATGCTGAAATACAGCAACGAGAATCCACTCCCTCCCAAACAGCATGGGCATTGATGGGCTTGCTAGCTTACCTTCCCCACACTGATGACTCCATTGTACGCGGCATTGGATATTTGGTTTCCTCGCAAACATCAGAGGAACTTGGAGGAGCTTCATGGCCGGAAAAAGCGTACACTGGTACTGGTTTTCCTAATCATTTCTACCTGGGGTATGACTACTATCGACACTATTTTCCTATGATGGCTCTCGGCCGTTATCTTCGAAGCTCTCGTTGCCCCAACTGAATTCTTCCATAATTCCTAATAAACATGTTATTGTCCGTTGTCATGTAATTAGCAGCCGCAGAGCGCTGTTCAATGTTGGTCAGACTGTGAGGTATGCCAACTACATGAATGCCATTATTGTTGTGATCATAACAAGCACGGGCGGATCCTGTTCCAACCCACACATTCCCGTCATAAAAGTTATGTTTCACCTAAGTTATCTGTAAGGCTTTTTAGTTCAACAGATAACAAATCACTCCATAACCGTCCATCCACCACGCACATAACCATCACAACAACAAGACTCTTTCGTGACAAAGTGATGACATATCTAGACTGTATGTGGATCATACCCATTGCACGTGAATACCACATCCTTCGTCTAATGCAACTTAGCTTCCGCATGCGGATGAAATGCGGTAGTGATATTTTCTTGTAGAAGACGCAATTATTGCGCAACCACCAAGTACCTGGTATTAAGTCCTTCAAGACGCTGAGGAAAAAAAAGAAAGCTTTGAGTCAAGTCTGACCTGTTCACAATGTCGTTTTTTCTAATTATTGCATTGGGCGTCTTTACAGCCTTATTGTTTCGGCGCAGAAAGCTCTCCAATCACTCAATCGACAATCAGTATGAGAGGCCGCCCCTCCACAACGCTTGGGACTGGCTTGGAATCTTCACGCTTGTTAAACTGGTCCAGCATTTCAAACAGAAGGACGTCTGCCAGTATACAGATCGCTTATTCAAAACGTACGGCGACACATATGCCGCTAATATTTTAGGAAAGAGGATCATATTTACCCATAACACTCATAATATCACGCGAGTGCTTTCTACTGGGGTTGGAGACTACTTCCCTGCTGATCATATAGGGAGCTTGTTCATGTATGCAACGCCAAACGGTATCTTCGCCGCTAAGGGCTTGGAGGAGTGGAAGAAAACGAGAAAGGTCTTCCGGACCGCGCTCGCCAACAACCGCGAAATTTGCAACCTCAGTGTTCTGGAGGAGCACGTGGGGAGATTTCTGAGAAGTGTACCATTAAATCGGACAGGCTTTAACATTCAAGCAACGTTTGCGGACCTATGCACCGACATCATGACATCATTCGCACTGGGAGGCTCGGCAGATCAGCTTGGCTTGACTCAGACTACCTCGAATGAGCACTTTGTCAAGAATTTGAACTACATAAAAAACACCATAGCCAAATGTGGTCGCCTAGGGCCTCTTCACCATCTTTACTCGAAGAAGCGATACCAAATTGCATGCGATGACGCGAGAAAACATGTCATAGAGCACGTGGATCAAGAGTTAGCAAATCCTGGCAAGGTGAGCGATGGTAATCAAAGCAAGAGATCAGTGGGGGGATCCTTGTTTCTTCGTGGGCTTGTCAGAGACATCCAGGATGTCAATCAGCTTAGTGACCACTGCCTGAGTATACTCCTAGCAGCAATCGACAGCATGACAACAGTACTATCCGCCACTTTTTTCCTTCTGGCTAAGGACGAGCGAGTGACTGAAAAGTTGCGGGCCACTATACTCGAGAATGTCGGGTATGAGCATCCTACATACGAACAGCTACAGAGCATGAAGTATTTACACTATGTACTCAATGAAGGTATGTGATACGATTAAAGCCAATTCTGCGGGCTATACTGAGAGATTCGGGCTACCAAGCAATGCGCCTTTTCCCGGCGGTTCCATTCGATGCACGAATAGCAAATAAAGACACCCTCATGCCTTACGGAGGAGGTAGTAACGGCATGTCTAACGTTCTAGTGAGGAAAGGGACTATAGTAGTCATCTCAATTTGGGCGAGCCACCGCATGAGTGAAGTCTTCAGAGTCAACGCCACTGAATTTTTTCCGGAACGGTGGGAAGTGTTAAATGGCGATCCACCGGGGTATCTTCCATTTCTTCAAGGCCCCAGGACCTGCCCAGGCCGTGAGTATTCATCGTCGATAGTAGTATCAAACGGTCGCTGACGGCTTGCAACCCGGACTAGGCCGCTACGCCATGATCCAGATTTCTTACATTGTTACGCGTATCCTCCAGGCCGTCTCTGAAATTACGGACTATAATTACGATGACTGGAAAGAGCAATTCGGTTTCGGATTCGAAAACGCAAATGGAGTCGTCGTTGGACTAGGCTAAGGAAGTTAATCAGTGGATAACCAGCCACCTTCCCACCACCTGCTATACCTTGTAACTGTCTTATATCTCGAGTGTAAACCACTGTAGGCCAAATTACGAGGAAAAATGAGACCATTGGCTTCAGAACCTAAGATCCATACCCCTGTTCCAAAATATTCTGCGCAAACGTTATCCGCAACATAATAAAACAACTTAAAAGATTCAAACAATGTAATAGGCCAGAAGCACAATATGCAGAAGAGATTTAATACTCCGCATCGTCACAATTAGACTTACCTGACCAGGCAGACAATGGAACGACAAAGTATATTATTAGGAGCATAACGCGTCATTTAGTCATCGCTTAGCACGGTTACCAGGTGTGATTATCGCGGTCTGTTACGCCCAGAAAGCCCAGCAGATCAATTCACTAGCAGATGACTCTATCCTTTCGTCCATTAAGGCTTCCTTCTCTTCGTTCCCCTCCACACAAACAAAATCCCTCACTAATTATTAAAGGAGACAATTATTATCTCTCTATCCACTAAATAACCCTCGCAATGGCCAGTAAAGACAACTCGTCCCAAACTGCGGATGAAGCCTGGACCATACCATCTGTCGCGCCATATCTCATGTGCCTGGATGGTCATTGGTTCCACATCAACTACGATGTTCCAGAGGAGAATACCCAGCAACTAGACAAACTGTACGACCGCGATGCGAAGTACGAAGAGATCCCAGAGCATCTGAAGGCATATGAAATCGAAAAGGAGGACACAGATGTGGAAGAGGCAAAAGAGGTAAAACGGTACCTTGAGGAACAGGCCAAGCGCAAGAAGACCTCCGGGAAATGAAGGCGACACCTGCTAAAGTCTACTCGCGTATCTATATGCGGATGATCGTACATCTGGAAGAAGGAAAGAGAATAGTACCAATGTTATGCGTGCAAACGATATCCAGACCTGACATCGACATTTTGACCTCCTCCAAACTAGTAGAATGTAGTAGGCATACCGAGTACATTTTCAAACCACTGATCATCCCCCAAATCCATCGACTGCATCCAGACCATCTGATCTAGATCTGGGATAGGGTGATTGTTACTAGCGGTGTGAGTATTTGCACTCCGGCAGGGCCTGGTTTCCTCGTCATGCCACCGAGCTTCAGCCCACAGGCGACACCTTGTTAAAAGCTTCGATAAAAACTTGAGTAGATGGTCATCGCACTGAAGTCCCGGCTCCTTGCTGCTCAGATCGAGCTTCTGCAGCATACAGTCCATTGTCGAGATCAAGTGAACCGTGTTCCGCACAGCTTGGCAATCCCATTCTGGGTCTTGGAGTGTTGATAGATATTTTAACAATGTGACTGTCAGAATCATCTGGGACCAAAAATGAAAAGGTTGGCCGACAAGTTGCGAGCAAGGGATCCGGTAGAAATGGTCCAGCCACGACTTGATGCTCTCAACCGACCGCCACAAACATTCCAGGCGTTCGAATCCTAGTACTCCAGACAGACTGAGAGGATGAGAGTCTTGACTGACGGAGTAGGCGAGCTGATTTATGTATAATTCGACGTATTGGGCGTGTGCATTGAGAATGTCTGCATCCCCCAGTGAAGGTATCAGCCATCATCGCAGCGGAGATAGTTTGCCTGGTTATTCGCTTGGGAACCTACTTACCTAGCTGGGGCAGATCTTGAGGAAACGAAGATCTTAGCTCATGGAGCTCCCTACGTAAAGTCTTGAGATACAATAGGCGAGGAGCTGAAATCGCCGCAGGAGCTGTTCCGGTACGAGCCTCGTCTTGTTGTCGGACGTCGTCCGCTCTTTGCTTTAACAACTGCAAGCGGACTTGAGAGACAAATAGCCTGTCTGCAGGGCATGCTTGGCTTATTGACAGGACTCGAAGAGCCTCTTCCATCTGAGGCGTCCATCGTAAAGCGTCTTGACGCCCAAGGTGTGTCGCAATACTAGGGTAGTCATACGTTAGTACGGGTCCACCCTAAGGAAGGCATGCGCACTTGGAGCTCAAAATAAAACACGCCAGTACTGCCCGCTGCCTTTCCAATAAGCTGTAGGGCGTTTCGTCGTCGTGGCTCTGATTATTGTCATCCGCCCGCCCCTGGGTTATAGTCATCATGAGTTGCACGTCTGGTGAGGATGGTTTGAACAATCGCAGATCATAGACGAGGGAAATGGCGAGCATCATGAGGCGAGAGACGAGATCAGCTCCGCCAAGAAAAGGGTCAGTACTCCATGCTAGGTATGTTAGTAATCCAAGCAGCAGGTCGATATTTGACTGGACCTTGAGCAAGGCTGATGTGAACAGGAGACGCTTCAGCTCCTCCACCTGAGTCAGTCTTTCCTGGGTTGAGAATGTGGTCACGGTGTGGATGGCTTGGAACAAGAAAGGCCTGTTCTGGCGCAGATAGCAGCTTGTCATGTCTGGGGTCAGGTCGATGAACGGAAAAAATGGCAGCATTCGGGACCGGAAGAAATCGAGCCGTTCGTCTGCTTGATTTGGCGATGGAGCGGGAGTAGACAGAGAATACTGAATCGCCTCTATCGTGAAGTTCGGTCCCTCACTGAAGCCGAGAGAAGTGCTCGCAGGGGTTACTAGAGTGGTATTCGAAGAAGACGTGGACGATGAAACCCTGTCTCCGTGGCCGAGTTGAAGGGTGTGGACAGCAGAGTCCGGAGCCGCCGTGGAACCGATGATACATTGCATAGCGGATAACAAGTTCTCCATTTTGTCTTCCAGTCGAGCGATCCGCCTATCAGACGCTGTGTCTGTCTGGGCCTTCTGAGCATTCCGCCGGCGAACCGACTGTGATGGCTCACACCTTTTCTTGAGACGGAGACACCTTTCACAAGTATCACCACTTGGAGCACGCACGCACCGGCACTTGGCCTTGTAGCAATGCGTGCATGCTTGGCCATAGGTGCATGCTTGGCCGAGGGCTGGTTTCGATTTCGATCTCTCCATAGTATCCGAGGAAATCCCGACAGCTCAGTTGATAATAGGTAGGAGGGAGTTGTTCAGAGATGTTGAACGGAGGGATGTTAGGGAGTTCCTTGAGCGGAGATTACTTAAATCCCGCCGTGTCATGCCAACGGATTTAAACCTCCGAAGTCCGTTTCTATACAAGACGTCCATTAACGTCGGATCTGGCCGCCACAGGAAGAAGAGAGTGAGACGGCGGGGTTATATCTTAGTAAGAACTAAACAAAAATAAGGGTAGCAGCCACTTAAGATGCAACGCTTGTGGCGCAGTCTATTCTCTTTGGACTACAAAATACCCTGTACGCGGAAGAAGCAGACCTTTTCGAGGGACGATACGAGGAAGGGAAATGGCGCGAAAATAACTCGAATTGACATCTATGGCATGTCTCAACCGGAATTCAGTCCTCTGAATGCCGCGCAGAGTCCGTCCTTGGTATGGAAGCCCTTGAGCTCATTTTAGTGGTCTCATTAATATCATATCCATATAACCCCGCTCAAGTTTGGCAGCTTTTGTTTCATTCGGTTTACTTCACACCATCCACTACCTCACTCCAATCGCAATGACTCCAAATAATCAGGCGGCCTGGATCCCCGCCAAAAAGGCACGACCGTTCAAGGTTGGCGACGCGCCCTACACACCCCCCGGCCCGGGCCAAGTGGTGATCAAGAACACCGCCGTGGCCATTAACCCCTTCGACTGGGTGTTGCAGTTCATTGGACCGGCGATCGCTGGATATATCAAATACCCCTTCATCTTCGGCACCGATGTTGCCGGCGAAGTAGTCGAGGTCGGCCCCGACGTCGAGCGGTTCCAGGTAGGCGACCGAGTCTTCGGAAGCGCCACGGCCATAGCCAAGGAGGTCAACCGCCCGGCCGAGGGTGGGTTCCAGCTGTACACGGTAATGCGACAGCACCTGCTAGCACCCATTCCACCTCACATCACCGACGAACAGGCCTGTGTCCTGGGGCTGGGTCTCGGGACGGCCGCGTGGGGCCTCTTTCACCCTGACTATCTGGGCCTCGACATGCCTCGAATCCCGGCCCCTATGGACGTTGTGGGCAAGTCCGGCCTGCCGCGCACCGTCATCATCACCGGCGGCGCGTCGAGCGTGGGGAGCAACGCCGTGCAGCTGGCCGTGTCCGCTGGCTACCAAGTCATATCTACCTCGTCCCCGAGGAACTTCGAGTACGTCAAGAGTCTCGGTGCCACCCATGTCTTCGACTACAGGAGCAAAACGTTAGTCAAGGACCTCCTGGATGCTCTGCAGGGCCGCGAGCTGGTCGGCGCCTACACCATTGGCCGTGGGGCTGTCGAGGCATGTACCGCGGTGATGCGGCATCATGATGTCCGCCTCACGCGGAAGCGCATCGCCGTGGCCGGCGCCATAATACCCGCCGACAAACTCACGACCTTTGTCGGCAAAGGCACGTACTTAATAGGCATGGTCGGCGGCATGATCAAGTCGACCGGGAGGCGTCTTCGGACCGGGATCGAAGCCAAATTCATTCTCCTCGATGGCCTAGTCGACGCTGAGAGCGTCGTGGCTCGCATCTACACGGAGTTCCTGCCACAGGCGCTTGAGCAGCGCCAGTTTGTGCCAGCCCCTCCACCGCACGTGGTAGGCAAGGGGCTGAACAAGATTCAAGGGGCTTTGGATCTCCAGAGGAAGGGTGTCTCGGGGAAGAAGCTTGTCGTGACGCTGTAGTTGAGTCGGATTCGAATAGTGCAGGGACAGGATATTAATTGTGCGGTTATGTAATATACCCTACCACAATTTCCTTCTGTACGGTGAGATTGAAAATTAATTGTCTTGTTTTATTCTCTAAGGCTCTGGTTCTAGCAAAATAGCCAAGGCTCTTTCGGGTTTCCCATTTGCACACTGAGCGATGAGATTTAGCGCCATCTGTTGACCCGTTCCATCTCATATTGTCGCTCCGAATAGTCGGTCCAATCGTTTCCAGATGGACAAGGCAAATCAGAAATCTTGCGTGCAAAAAAAGATACCCCCTGACCCACGCCGGGGAAATCCGCCACTCCTTCAAAGCTAGCGAAGTTTTTATCCTTGAAGTTGATAGTGCCGTCGCTTGCCTGGAAGTGGATCATGCCTTCGCCCATCTCGCGGCATTTGAGCTTGAGCAGATATTTGCGAGGCTGATCTTGCCCTACCTTATGCTTCTTTGGCCTCGTCATAGGGTTAGAAGCCGGTGGATTTCTCTTAGCGCCTAGCTTCTTGGCTGGAACACTATCCTCGTCATCAGTTTCCTCTTCAGATCCCATTTCATCCATAGAATCGTTCCAGTCGGATTCATCGTCGCGATTCGCTTGAGCGCAGTATTCATCCAGGGCAAACTTCTCGGAACAGATAATCATAACCCCTTGAAGAATCCCGAAATCAAAGTCGGCTTTGAAAACACCAGGTGTATCGGTCCGATGGATGTCAAGGCTGAGATCATCTGCCATGTCTGGGTACTCCCTCTCAATAATCTCACTGTCAACAATGTAGGTGCCGACGGGGGTGACATCCTCTGCCTGCTGTCTACGGCTGTTGAGATAGTCCATATGTAATTTTTCCCGCTCATTCTCCCGCTCGTCTTCCTCGTCCTGTAATCGCCTTGCCTCCTCGACAGGGTACTGATCGGCTGCCTTTTCCACGAATGCTCTATCCCAACCCATGAAAATGACCTGAGTCTCCGGTCCAAAGGCTCTCATATGGTGTAGACCAGTGATCTTGCCGGCAGCTTCAATCATCTGTCCGGAACGATATTGGCTGTGTCGATCAAAGGGTATGCCAACGACAGTGGCCGTTTTTGTACGATCAGGTTGATCACCAGACAAGAAATACTTTTGCATGACCCAGTCAGGGTGGGAAGAGAGTTGCTCGGGGGTACGTTCGCTGAGCCATTCTGCATGCATCTGCCTTTGCAGCTTCATAATGCGGTCAGGGACCTGATCGCACTTCCCAGCTTGGAGGGCTGCCTTCATTAATGCAGTTCCCTGGCCAGTGAATTCACGTTCTTCGAACTGCACCCCATAGTGTTTCAACTGAGCACGGACGAAGTCGGAGTTATCTCTTAATGCCTTCTGCCCTTCGCGTGAGAGCTTTGGCAAAAACATGCTCCGGAGTTGAGAACCTTCGATTCGATCCATACGACCAGGGTCTGTCATGAAGCGGCCAAAGGCTGAGACGAACCCATCGCGACGAATATCATTGTAGTGGTACGCAGACATCGTGATCGGCAATTGTGAAACGTATTCCTCGAAAATGATGCCGAGGTGATCGGTAAGCTGAGCGAGAGACCACTAGAAGGAGAGGAGCGAATGCAGATGAGTGTATTGACTAAGAGTGATCTCACTATCTACCAGGGCGGTGGGTGCTGACTCCTCAGGCATCCACCTGATCACCGAGACTATTACTTAGTCGAGTTCTACCACCTCCAGGGTTACCTGGTGCGAGTAATATTAAATGCCTGTGAACTATCCCAGTGAACATCTCATTGGGGGTACAGCAAGAATCGATATACCGCAAACAATGACTGGCAACCTCACCAGCCGGCAATTCATGTCACACATAGTGATCGCAGCCTGGTCTAAGCTATTGCTGGCACTACTCTACTTGTCCCGGCCGACTCTGGATCATCGCTGTCAGAGGGCTCGCTGCCAATGATCTGAAGCTCCTTGACCTTGCGAATATCCTTCCATCCAAGTCCCGGAGAAAATACCAAGACGGCAAGGCTGACCGCAAGACCGAGATACATAACGTGGTCGATACTATTCGCGTAGGCCGTGAGCACAGCAGCTAGCTGGGAGCCAGACACCACGTCCCGGATGGAGCGGACTCCAGCAGCAACGATGACGTCTGGATCGCGGCCGATTTGTGCCACGCGTTGCTGAAGCTGGTGGCGAAGGGTGTTGCTGAAGATGGCGTTCGCAGCAATCAGGGAGGTAGCCGCTCCGATGTTTTGCCAGAAAATGATAATGGCCATGGCTTGGGAGATCTGCGCTGGAGACACGAGGTTTTGTATAGCGATGTAGGGAGCTGCCGTCGTGCAACCGCTTGCAACGCCGTAGAGAATCTGGTACCCGATCCATTTGACAACCGAGGTCGTGGGACTGAGGGTCGACAGGAGTCCGTAGCCGACCGCGGAGATCGCACCGCCGGCAAGAAGAAATGGAAGATAGTAGCCCAAAACGGAAATCAGGGCGCCCGAGACCATGGTGAACAGGACCAGCCCGAGAGTGATTGGGAGCATGTGCACGCCGCTCATCAAGGGCGAGTCGTCGCGGATCGCCTGGAAGTAAATGGCAATGTAGAAATCCGCCACCAGGACACTGGACAGGCTGAAGAACATGGTCATTGCGGTCGACCAGATGACTCGGTGTCGGAGCATGGCAAAGGGCAGCATGGCCTCGTCTCCCCGACGATACTCCCAGACCAGAAAGAGGCCAAAGGCAACGGCACCGCCAATCAGCAAGCCAATCACCACGGAGCCGTTCCAGGGGTGTTGGTTCCCGCCAAACTGCAGCCCCAAGAGGAACATGACCACCGCGGGGCAGATGAGCATGAAACCGGGGAGATCCAGAGACTTGATGGCGGTGCCGAGAATCTCCAGGGGCGGACTCTTGGGTTTCGGTTCCGGGATTGTGTTGAAAAGAAGGAATCCGCCGACGATAACCCCCAGGGGGAGGTTGATGTAAAAGCACCACCGCCAGGACACGTTTGTGGTAAAAGCGCCTCCGATGATGGGTCCTGTCGCCAGACCCAGCTGGCCCATCCCCATGTTGAGCCCCATGAAAATCGCCTGTTTCTTTGTTGGGAGGACAGCAGAAATAGTTGTCACAGCGCCGTTGGCCACACCGGCAGAGCCTACGCCAGCGATGGCGCGGCCGACGATGAACATGGGCGACGACTGGGCCGCTCCGCATATGGCAGATCCGATCTCGAATAGAACAAAGAAGACAAGAAAGGTCCACTGCAGCTTATCTTGTCAGAGTAATTCTATGCGCGGTGTAGACCACTATACCTTTATGGAAAACTGGCTGTAAATCTTGCCGGTCAAAGGCTGGAATGCTGCACTTCCAAGCTGGTAGGCGCCGCCGTACCAGCCGACATCCACCAACGAGTCGAACTCGGAGGTAATGGCCGGAGTGGCAGTGGAGAGGACCGCAAGGTCAAGAAAGAATAGGAAATAGGCCAGGGTAACTGATGTGAGGATCAGGGTGACCGCCAGTCCCGACGGATACTCGTACTTGGGCTCCGCATCATCGCTGGAGGTACTTTTCTCAGCCATTGCAAGATGTGAGGACGCGGAGGGCTGCTAGTATGAAAATGGTTGACTGGCTGGTTATAATAAGCTGTACTTGCTGACTATAAATGTACTGCATCTATAATCAAGGAGACCGGAGTCCACCCACCGAAATCCGCACCTGCAGCAGGAATCCTTTAGGGGTACCGCTTATAGCGGAGTCTGTTCCGAAATCCGGCTTTGGGTGTTCTATACACCGCTACTACCTACCGTAACGTAGATTCGTCTACTATTCCCTAACATGCTTGTGAAAACCGCCCAATAGCCAACTATAGAAGAACGGTCTTCCCTTGATCATCCTTTCCGAATAATTTACGAATAAGACTGTTATCATGGCCATGGCGACCGCCAATGATGAATATGTGATGGCCAGATGAGGGTCCTTCCTGATGAGTGTAAATGCCATCGCCAGGCACGCCCCAAGCCCCAACAGTGGTTGTTGACTCTGAAGCACTGACTTCCCTTTCCAGATTCCACACCATTGCTCTGCTGGCTAGCGGTAGTATAGAGCTACTTAGTAGGTGCTAAACTGATTATAAAAACAGTTAGTATCTGTTTCTCTAGTGCTGGGGTGATGCATCACTTACTAAATATATGTAGTAGTAGTTCTAGTAGTGGTAACAGGGCCATCATGCATAAGGGAACTAAATATACAACTTAGTATCTAATATACTTCTCAGAGACCGTGGTAATTAAGGCAGATAATCCACTGATATTCACCATCCTAGACCCAGAGGCATCAACGGCGCCACCGTGTTGAGACAGGGACGGAGAGAAATCCCAATAGTATACATCATAGGTGTACAGGATTGTGAGCCTCTTGCTCTATGATGGCATTCTTCACCTTGACCTTGTGAGCTATTTTGGTATACTGCTCCGCTATGGAAAGTTGGCTTAAATTAACTTTAGGTGACCACTGCTTTTTAGTCTTAGACATACTAATAAATAGAGCAATGAAGGATCCTACACCTCCCAAGTCCACAGAAATGGGCATAATAGCAGTAATTAATCCACCTTCCACGGCTCACCGTCGCGTCGCGTAGACCCAGTACGCCCGGAATCTTGGTAGATTGTGCATGCTGGATGTAATTCTCTGCCAAATGCCAGTCCTTACCGGCCTGCTGAGTCGATTAAGTAATTTATGAACCTTCATTTTTACCGCTGGCAGAAAATATGTAAAGGCACATTCCACAAAATTGATTTTTTGGCTTTTTTTCGCTTTTTTGGTTGCCTGTGGCGAACCAGAGTCAAGCTACGTAACTGGCTACCACATGCTACAAAAGCTTACCTTGCCCATTGTATAATCCTCAAATTTTCGATCATTATTGGTCAGAAACGTCAGAAGATTCAGACAGACGTAGTCATTCAATCATCAACGCGTGAAAGTCACTTGATCGCCTGATATGGAGTTTCGCGGCCAGCATGCCTCGCCATTCGCAGATCTGCATAGGACGGAAACTTATTGCCAATCTAGCATGATCCAGACTAAGCTATCTCGTGACGGTTTGGTGGGTCTATTTGTTCCGCCATAGTGTCTCATGGACATAAATAATGACGTGCGCGCCTGTGTCGACTCTGGCCCTCATTCTACTCAACAGAGGTTTTGAACCAAGTATTAATCAAAATGAACAAAGTCCCTGAGATCATGGCCCGCGAGGGCGAGCCCGACCCAGATGTCTTTGTCAAGGCCGATGCCTTCACAAAGAAAACATATAGAGACGTCTACTCCGCCATCGATCCCACGCGCCCCAATCTCTCACAAAAAGGCAAGGTAGTGGTCATCACAGGCGCGAGCCGCGGACTGGGACGATACGTAAGCATCTAACGCTTAGACATCTTTATAAATGAGGATTAAGGAAGAGCAGTCCTTTGCTGCGTCATTTGCACGTGCCCATGCGGATGCCATTGTCCTTCTTGCGCGCTCGAGAGAAAACCTTTCTCAGACGGAGACAATGGTTAAGAGCATCAGCCCATCTACAAAAGTCCTTTCAATTGCGGTGGATGTCACTGACTACGACTCTGTCAAGCGCGCATTCGATGAGATCATTGAGCGGCTGGGGATTCCGCAGGTCCTCGTGAATAATGCTGGGGTAATCGCTTCGCAATGTCGGATTGTGGATGACGATCCAGATTTCTGGTGGAGGACGCAGGTAGGTGTATCTCTCGAAGTTGGTACCTAAAAGAGTCAAGTGCCTGTTAACAAGCACTAGGAGGTAAATGTCCGGGGTACATTTAACGTTACCCAAGCTTTTCTGAAAATTGTTGGCCCAAGCCCTGCTGCTCCGACAGCAATTATCAATCTCACCTCCGCGGCCGGTCACTATGTTGGTCAGAAATTGAGCTCATACTGTCTCACTAAATTAGCCATCACGCAGTTCACTGCATTTCTTAAAGATGAGCATCCGCAGATCACCAGTGTGAGTCTTCACCCGGGCATGATCCCAACAGATATGGGAAACAGCGCCTCTTGGCTAGCACCGTTCATGAAAGATACGGCAGACCTATGCGGGGGCACAGCCGTCTGGCTATCCAGCGGAGATAGACAGTTCTTGTCGGGGAGATATGTAGCTGCTAATTGGGATGTGGAAGAGCTGGAAGCAAGGAAGGAGGAGATTGTTCAGGACAATCTGCTTACCGTTCGTCTTAATGGGCGTTTTGGGGAGTAAGGGCTTTGTTCTCTTATGATTTTTGTTCCCAGGTGATATTTGTAGCAACCCATTATAACTTAGCATTGAATTCTGGCTTGGAAAAGGTTTGATTTCGCCTATTTCTGGAATGCTTGACATTGAGCTATTGCTTACTAATATAAGGACTGTTCTTGTGGTCCGAAATATGAACATATATATCACGATTATGGCTGAAGGATGGGACTATAGATTTCCACGTAATATGCGCCAATCTCAAGTACTTGGGAGTCTTTTCTTTGCGTACAAACCATTTACGCATCGATTTTCAATGCAAAGGGTAGAGTGCAAAGGGGAGAAGAGGCGTGATATACATTAGTGATGAGCATCCTTCATTTCGTGTGATCAAGTGAACAGTATTTCTATATGTGTTAAAGAATAAGGTCTATAGACTCCCAGAACTTCCTTAGACTTAAGGGAGAACAAGTTTGCCTCCTCTTGGGGCTGCGCCTGAACCTTAAATACTTATTAGGACCCCTTATAAAGAACTATAGGAACTTTTACAGCATAGGAGGCTTAGAGAAGCATCTTGAGAATTAGATATTTTAAGAAAAGAAGAGAAAACAGGAGTCACTATCACTATCTGTTTAAAGAGATTAAGAAGAAGAAATCTGGAAGATTTATAAATATATGATGCTCTAACTCATAGAAGGATAGGGTATATTATAAACTTCTATCCTAAACCTAGGGACACTAATACTACACGAAGCACAGCCAAAAAGCTCCTTATCCGGAATGACGATCTTTTGATATCGCTCCGACATTGGTAGCGTTGGCCGAGAATCTGCGTTATGGATTGAGGAAATGGTGCAGTTAGCATGAAGAATAGTTTTAATCTTTACGATTGCATTTTCCAGTCCTCGTCGGAGACGTTTGATTTGAACCGTCCAGCTCATGTACGAGCCCCCAAGCCAGCTGCCTCCAATAAAACCGGTGGAGAAGATCTCCTCAGGGTATTTTTCACTACAGCTCAGAAAGGACAAGGTATGTGTTAGAACTCATCCTACAAGCCATAGCCTTTCCGTAGGCCAATCATGGCAAGCCCGACTCGCATAATTTTCCGGCAGGTTCTCCTCTGATGGCGGACTGTAGCTGTCATCTACATTACATTGAGCCTAATCTTCGTAGATATATACTTATCCACGCACTAGGAACCGTTTGATGTGCAACATATTGAGGCTACAATCATTGTCAGTATAAGTGCTATATACCTTGAGTGTGGCGCTGTGAAAGATGGCATCAACAGTAGCATCAGACAAATACCAGAATATGTTCGTCGCCAAGAAATACGTGAATATTGAACTGGTGTTACCTCCCAATGACTACTATATACTGCGTAAGGTGACCAAGGCTCCCAACCATTCTGCTGATTAGCAACGTGCTCAGCCAGCTTTCACCAATTAAAGTGAAGCAGAGGCAGGTGCGCCACCCAGCTTGAAATACCCAGGCTGCAGCGTCTGATAGACCCCCTTGGGATCGTACTTGGCAGCAATTCTCTGCAGTTTGGCCTTATTGGCAGGCCCATAACCCGCAATGACATCCTGATACTGACTCGCGTAGTTCATGTAGACATAGTTATGAAACACGCCCTCGTTCTTCGCTTTGGCGGTGACAGTATCCCAGAACTTCTTAGCCCACGTAACTACCGTTTCGTCGTCGTCCGCATTGTCCCACCAGATCGACATTAGCAGTAGGTGAAGTGGTCCCTCTGAGGCGTCCAAACCCAGTGCATTACCTCCGTTGCGCCTCATGTTCTTGAGCATGGGAATAGTAATACCCTGGTTGACGAGGGATGGGTTGATACCCGGAATGCCCAAAACCTGCGGAAGAACAGAGTAGAAGTACTCGGTAACCCAGTTGATAAAGGCCTCGTCCAAGCGGACAGTTATTGTCCAGTACATCTCCCGCAGTCCGTCGGGATTGACCTCCTGAACGGTGTCACAATACTCCACCAAGGTTCTGGCCGCCGTCGTATCCTGAATTGCGGGGATAGCGCGGTAGGGAGCGAAGATGGCCGGTTCGCTCACGTTCTTGACATATGTGATCTCGGCGGCAGCGATGTTCACTCCCTGAGTATGCACGAACGCGACCCAGTGCTGCGCGTTACCATCATTGGAGGCGCCGTTGACGACGCTGACGAAGGCGCTGATAACTTTGCTGAATTGATCATCGGCAAAGACCCTGGTTCCACCTCGCATTTCAGAGCTGGGAATAGTATAGAGGTTGAACTTGGTAACGATGCCAAAATTATTCCCTCCGCCTCGAAGAGCCCAGAAGAGGTCGGGATAAGAGTCCGCACTAGCTGTGACGACGGCACCACTCGCAGTAACGACCTTCGTCTCAGTGAGCTTCCAAACAAATGGTACAATACATGGCTCATACCTCGAAGCTCTGGACATTATCGCAAGCGAAACCATATAGATTGGAGTAGTACGAAATCCCACCTCCGGTCGTAAGTCCTCCAACGCCAATTGTGGACACCCGGCCGCCGATGGCAGCCAGACCATAGGGCTCTAATGCTGAGTATACTTGCACCCAGACATTGCCAGGTCCAACTGAAACAACTGATCTGTCCTTATTCAGAGTGATGGCGTTCATATCCTTCAGCAAGACCGTAATCCCGCCCTGGATACTCGATGCTCCCGCAAAGGCAGCATGGCCACCACTCTTGATGGCAAAGGGACAGCCAGTGTACCTTGACAGAAGTACAAGAATTGAAACATCGGTGTTCAGCGATGGCTTGAAGATGCAATAAGGACGAACTTCTTCCTGCTGGGCCGACCAATACGATCCTGTGGCATTGGTGTACGCGGTGGTATTCTGCGCAAATGCTCGGCTTGGACTGAAGAGAAATGCTAGGGCACTGCACTGTAAAGTGTCAGGCCTTCACGCGCATTTCCTGGATTGATGAATAGAGGTACTTACGGCTGCGCGACACGCATTTTTAGTTGACCGGGACTGCAGTGAACTCAGAGCAGGGATCGTAGAAACGTCCACTCCAAGATTATAAAGCGCGGCGTTCACATCGAAATTGTCTGGTTCAATGACACTGGGCGAAGTCTTACCTGTTTGTGCAAGAGCAATGGCGCAGATGGCGCTCATGAAAACTGAAAATGGCAACATGCTGCACCACAGACCGGGTCAATGAGGAAGGGGATTGTGAAGAAAATGAAAAACTGTTGACCCTGACGAGGACAAAACTGGTCCACATCCCTTGTCAAATATGAGCCTGACACGCGGAATTTCTGCCACTAATGCACGCCATACATATGACGGAAACGTCTACCCTATGAGCATTCATAATGCGAGCTAGTGCTTACCAGAATGCTTACCGGAATGCTACCCCACGCTGACATGTAGCTTTGAGGATTCCCATTATTGCCGTGTGGAAAGAGCACGGTGCTGCGTGATACGTACTGCAATTCCAAAGAACTCACAGCCTGGATCTCAAATATAGTGCCGAGTTTATGGCAGTTGCGTGATCGCCAATATTTGTTACAGCACTGAGGCGAGCATACTCAGGGTGGTGAGGAAACCAAATATCAACCCTCAGTACTCTTTAACAATCTTCATTTCTTCTGAGATCCGGCGTTCATTCAGAGTATATTAGGCTGTGCTCTAAGGGTGGATGATTTGCATTGCTAACAGTCTGTCGTCTGAATCACTCCTGTTGCATCAAAGCGGCTGGCTTTCGAGAAATTTTGACAGATGTGTGGAATCATGAGAAACCCAGACAATAGGCCTCTAGTCTTCTCTATGAGGTACCTGATCCTCCTTATGGTTCTCTAACACCTCCTTTGCCATATGGGCCCCTCGATAGTAGCATATGTATGGCTGATGTATTGAATAGCCCTGGGTGCAACGTCACAATGAAAGCGATTACATGAGACGCGATCAATTGACAAGGCAGTCTTCCTCGGTGACATGTTGCTCCTCCACTTCTTCAATGACAGTTGGATGATATTTCTGACGCCTGCCATAGCTACAATAAATTGAACGACACGCATACGACCGAGCATCCTTTCCTGAAGGAGATATTACGGGATGAATGGGCATACAATGGTTGTCTGGTATCTGACTGGTTTGCCACCAAATCTTGTGCAACATCCATCAATGCTGGGACCTGGACATGCCCGGTCCATCAGCCTTTCGTGGCTGTTCTTTCGGTCCCGAAACAACATGAAGTGACAATGGAAGATTTTCTCTTTGAGCCCGCCCGTCTTGAACATCGCATCGCTGTATTCATGGAGGCTGGAAAGCCTTCCTTCATGAGGCTGCTGATTTAGGCTCAGATCCCTAGGAAAAATGACTATGAGCCCATTGCTCACGGTGCAACGCTGTGCTCTGAGGAATTCAGTGATGAGCGCGCTTCGATATCCGAAGCCGTCAAGGTTGCTTCTACATCAGATGTGAGCATCATATTTGCCGGTCGAAATCAAATATACGAATCTGAAAGGTTTGACCTTTATTCCATGAGCATATCCGAACCCCAGGTTAAATCTCATCAGAGCTGTCACAGCAGTTTCCAAGAAGACAGTTTTAGTCCTCAACTGCGGCAATCCGATCGACGTATCGCCATTTGTGAATGAAGTCGACGCGATTCTCAACGCTCACTTCCCCGGCCAGGAGGGCGGACAGGCAATCGCTAATATACTGACTGGAAAAACCAATCCGAGCGGCCGCCTGGCGACCACCTGGCCTAAGAAGTTCGATGAAGAGCACATCCCCACTTACCACAACTTCCCAGCGCAACTTACGGAGCGTGGGTATGAGATCAAGTATAAAGAAGGCCTTCAACTAGGATACAGACATCCTCAATCCCGGCGCACTGCGCATTGGCAATTCAGCCACGGGTTGTCTTACAATACCTTCGAATACTCGGGACTCACCGTCAGTGGCCAGGACATAACTAAGGAGGCACGCGACTCTGACCTGACTATCTCGGTCAGGGTCAAGAACACTGGTATCTACCCCAGCCATGAGGTTGTCCAGTTCTGTATATCTCCTCCAGACAGTATAAAGCTGTGGCGTCCTGCTTGTGAGCTCAAGGGGTACGCAAAAAGTATGGATACTTCCTGGGGAGTCAGAAACAGTGATAAGCTCCCTGAGTAAGAAACATGCATTCAGTTACTGGGATGAGGATGCCAAACAATGGCGGTTGGAGCCTGGAACATATCGCCTTCTTGTAGGACCTTTTTCGACTCCCGTTGAGATTGAACACAGTTTAATGAGGAGTGGACGGTAGATTCAGCAGCTTTCCTACCTCATGTCTATATATATCCATCGGAGACACTTCATATAACGAGTTGTTTTAGACCGTTTCCATTCTTGGTCGGTATATAAAGGATCAAGCGTATTTGAGAGTGATTAAGAACATTTACCTTCTACTTACTTCTTGAAAACTTTAAGGACCTTTGGGGGTGAAGCCCCCTTGCTTTAGCGGCCCTTCCTGGTCACTTTGAGGTTGTCCGTACACTGGTTAGCCGTTGCGTAAATTTGCTTTCTATTGATTAAAAGGCATGTAGTCCTATTGGATATGTTGCCTTGAAGGGACAGCACGTAATTGAGGACTATCTACTGTCTTCACCTATGCCAGAGACATCCATGGAATACATCCACCAACCACAAGTGATATGATGACAGAAAGGATAGATAATGTATTTGAGATAACTTCCTTGACACCCTGGCAGACTTTCAGTGCGAATCACTTTTCTTGATCCCTCTAGAAATTACAACACAACAACCGGCATATAAGTAAGCCTAGCTCCATCCTTTGGTATGAGCATCCATCACATCGACTCTCCCCTTGCAGTTGGTGTCTGAGGCATATTCAACGACGAGACGAACTGAAACTGCCTTGGGTATTCTTGTCTCAAAAACTCCTTTCCAGTATCCCATGTCATAAATCGCGGGGTAAGGTCCTTTCCACAGAGTTTCACTTCCCTGTGAGGACTAAAGTCGAATAAGGGTTCCTTACCATTGTCCTTTCTAATCCGGCGAACAGCACTGTAAAAATCCCAATTGTCCTTGTTTTTTGCTAGCATCGATGCTTCGTGCTCGATATGACCAATGCTGAGATAGTACATAAACATGTGAGGGTTATAACCCCCCTTAAGCCAGGCCTCGTAGCCGGGGTGGTCTTGCTTGTCTAGCAGTGGCTTGTCGCGCAGTTCCCGGATCCAGTTCAATAGAGAGAGTTCCTCATCAAGCATTGTGGTGCGGAATGGTAAAGGCAAATTATGTTTCATGCCATCGCCTGATTTAATGTCGTTGGCACCGCACTTCATTGTATGGTAGACTAGAGCACCCTGCATTAGATCCTCAATCATAATTGACAGTGCCATATTGTCTTTCAGATCACGGAGTGGCCTAAGCGCGAAAACACAGGCGTCGGGCACATATGATCGTGCTGGATCTCGTAATGACACTACTAAGACTGTTCCATAGCCGGATAACGATGGTTGGTTGCGTGTGTCCAAGTATCCGTGAGCGAAGGGGGAAATAGTGGCCTCGGATGCCCGGCGGCATCGTTCGCACAGATCAGAATTGTGACATTCTTCCTCGAGTATGTGCGTTCGCTGTTCTGATATACGCTTCCAGGACTGATCGGTGTGTTTCGGTGGCTTTTCATGCCTTGCAGAGAAGACCTCGTCCATAGTGTATCCTTCACGCATAGCGGCCTTCAGTTCTTCATTTGAAATAGTGGTGTATCTTTTTGGTTTCCACAAATTCGCTTAAGATATTTCAAGACGAATGTCCTCACTCGGTCTTCGCGTGCATAGCCAAAGCCGAGGACATCAATGGGCGGTGCGAAATCTTCCCTGCGTCGGACAGGTAGGGGATAAATAGTAACCAGAGTGCTCGAAATTGCGGCTAAGAGAACTTGCCAGGGAGAGCCTGATCGAAGACACTCAACACACTGCCGGAGAACCTTTTGAGAACAACGCCGTTCGCGTTGATGTAGATTCTCGATGCCCTTGCGACGTACAGAAAATCGTGCGTAAGTCTTCATGGTATCGAAGGCTGCTTTAGAAATAGCAAAGCATGAAAGTTGCCTTGTTATCTGCCAAGTGTGTGTGAAATACCAGCTACATTCCATGATAACATAGAAGTCTTCTTCCCGGGCTTCCGGATCTGAACGATCAGTACTGGTCCAAAGTTTTTCGAGAAGCTCAAGGTCAGCCCCTGACATCACAAGAACCTCATCAAACTGTGTGATAAAATTAATAATGTGTCGCGCAGCTTTTTCCGTGTTGCGTGGATTGTGGTGCCGCCCTCCAATAACCTGTAGAAAGCTCGGAATAAGTTGTTGTGTCAGATAAAAGCAGTCGAATCGAAAGTCTATTAGAGAGGCAGAGCGGACGGTGCCGAGCTTTGAATTTGGGATCCGAAAATCGAGCATCGCCTGGTGATCGAGTGACATGAGTGGAGGCCCATCTTCATCCATAGTATCACTTAGCTCCTCCATCTCGTCGAACACTGTGCTGGGTGGCGCAGGGATCCAACTAGTTGGATCCCTGCGCATCGAGATAATCTCACTGTCAATAATGCTGATTTGATCAAATGCTTGGCCGGTGACCAAGGATTGTAGCTGTTTCAGAATGGCCATACGGTAGATATCCCTTGCCCAGTCCATTATGTAGTCAACAATAAGCAAGAGTTGCAACGCGTTGTCTTTGTGCAAAAGCGACCCCGACCAGAGTAGTGTTATACCCTTGTTGCCGAATTAGTTGTGCGACATAAAAAGAAGTATTGCGGGGATCTAGGACTGTCGCCAGGATTTTAGCAGCCTTGTACTCACATATCTTGTAGGACCCCCATCTGCTCCCTTCTCAAGATGTGCCCCATACACTTTCCATTGATCCCCACGAGAGGCCAGAAACCATACCAAAGGCTCAAAACGTTCTTCTCCTGATGACCAATCCACGTAGGACCGCAATTCCTCTTGAAGCTTCAAAAGTGCGTAAATCGGGAACGCTGACTGCACTTGGATGGCATCAAATCCACAGGAACTTGTTTCGGATTTTGCTTCTAAGAGCAAAAAGGGGAAGAGTAGAGGATCAGCTTGACTTTTGAAGGGCGTAGATTTAAGAATATCGGAGACAGTATCGTCTCGCTGCTTGGCAAGTTCTGGTCGAACGGGACTCAGTAACAAAGTATCCAAATTCCTGGTGTTTTGCAGGCCCAGGACGCGATCAGGACCTTGTTTGGGGAGCTGTGATCTGAGAAGCTCGTCATATACAACAAACTCCTGGGCTCGGTCATCGAAGAGGGGATTCGTTCCAATTTCGTAGCTGTGATGTCAGAATACTTCCAGGGATAAGTTAAGAAAGCCTAACTCACAAGTCTTTAATTCGTTCGTCGGGAGGACATTGACAAGGCTTTCGCCGTTTTCTGCGTTGCTCAAGTTCTCCTTCATGCTCGATTTGATTATTACTCAATGTAGCCTGTATCTCAGACTGCCAGATTCTCGCCCTGCATCTTGGACTGCCAAGGATTAGCAGAGGACTTCATTCAAGGTTGTTTGAATTCTTCCCACTACGCTAACCCTGTTAGCCCATAAACCCTAATATAATGGTACTCACCAAGCAACTTCAGCTAAGAATCTCCCTAGGATATGATTCTCCAGCCCAAAGCGCCAGCCCGCTTCGTTGCGCTCCTGACCAAATAAACGCTCAGCGCGCTGGCAAAGCCACTCGGCACGGGCTTTGATCTGCTGCTTCCAGGGTTCTTTGGAAGACCAAATATTTACACCAGCCGAATAGATATCAAACTGATAACTCCCTAATTTCTTGATGTTATTGAACGTGTCCGCGTGAAGTTCAGGCACCCCCTCGTCTGATCGCAGAAACCGAATATTGTATCGCTTCATCAAACGCCGTAGCGTTCGCAGGTGGTCTTCTGCCATTATGCGAGACTGTTTAGTTGGAAAAACCTTTGATATGTCACTAGCAGCAGTGTATTAGGAGGAATATATACGCTGCTGCCACTTGGTCTGAGCCACCTTTTCCAGTGGCTTAGCCCTGCAGGATAGGAGGGTGAGTTATCGCGCGAAGTGGGTAAACATTTCCCCCTTGTCTATTGTGCATTCATCCTAGTCGCCCGACTAGCTCCATTTGCTCGCTCTAGTGAAGAAGCGAGTCGCAAGAGCGTGGCACCCACCCAATTATCTGCTACTTTCGTTGGTACCTAGTTGGGTCACTAACCACCGGCGAACCGCAGCACTTGCATCCATGTTGTTTTCTTTCCTCTATTCTGCTTCATTGATTCTGTGATTTCCGCCTTGTTTTCACCCCTCTCTTGAAGCGGACCTGTAACGCCTGGACCTGAATAGTTTCCACTCAGTAGCTCTGTCCATATTACTACTCAAAGATAAAAATGCCTCTTGTAGTAGAAGATATAATACAGACTCTGACTAGAGTATTTTCGTTGGAATGGCAACTTATGCACCTCTACTAGTATAGGTGACTGTGAAGTTCGTAACCATACAGCGTTTGGTCAAAGCGCCAAAAGAGATCCACAAGGAGTTCAGAACACAAGCCACATGAAACTAAACACAACTGCAAACGCCGAGAGTGTCAAATCATTGTCAAAGCTGAGCTTAGTCTCTTTTAAAAATAGCGGCGGATGTCATCGCGCATTCTGAGCCACCACCATTGGATCTCTGTTTAGTAAGCAGATGCCTAGAATAGTTAACGTAATCAACCACCGAGCGACGAATACCCCCGAGCGACGAATTTTTGCCGCTTCTAATACTAATTTGAAGCTTTTCAACCACCAACATCATTAGACTTGACTATCTAGTAGCTGAATATATAGCTATATATTAGGACAATTCCTTCTAGTATGTCCAATAGTCCAACACGCACTGCAGCGTGGTGGAGCCCGCTGACTAGGTATAGGTGTAGGCTCACTGGCCTGCTCAACAAGAGGTATATCA